AGATGGATAGATAGATAGATAGATAGATAGATAGATAGATAGATAGATAGATAGATAGATAGATAGATAGATAGATAGATAGATAGATAGATAGATAGCTCTTCCTGAGCATCTGTTCTTTACAGGCACAACAACGAGAAGACCTTCCTGATCTGGGTGAATGAGGAGGACCACACCAGGGTCATCTCCATGGAGAAGGGCGGAAACATGAAGAGGGTGTTTGAGAGATTCTGCAGAGGGCTTAAACAGGTGAGAAAAAACCCATTTTAATGGACGCATCGGGGGAAAAAAGATAATTTTCTGTGTTTTGACACTTTTTAGGTGCCCCTGAAGTAGTGATTAAACAAAAAACTAAGAAAAAACTGGCCATTTTTATTCAGTTGTATGGATTTCTGACTGGACAGAACCTGAATCCAAAGCAATTCTCAGCCTCTCGTTCAATATTTCAGGAGAAAGGAAGAAAAAACTTTTGTTTTTTATGTCTGATTTTTGATGAAAACCTTTCATGTTCACTGTGGACACAAATAGCTGAATCAGTCGGGATGCTTAAATCTGGCCCCTGAGGGCTGCCGTCCAGCAGGTTTTGCAGGTTTCCCCGATTAAAAAAGCCATAATCAGGAATGTAAAGGCCTGGGTATGATGTAATGATTTAAATCAGGGGTATAGAAGCAGAGAAACATCTCAAACCTGCAGGACATGTTGACCTCTTAGCTCTAAAAAAATACAGCTATTTTTAAGATTATTTAGGAATATTTCTTAAAAATTATTATTTAATATTATTATTTTTTTAAATAGTATTATTATTATTTTTAGCTATAGCTATTTTTAATTACAGCTATTATTCTAAAAATAGAGATTTTATGCCTCCATTAAATCTGTGAGAGCAAACCTACTTGAATGTGGCTGTTGTTGCTTCATGTGACCACTAGAGGTCAGAAAACCACTTAGTTTAATTAAGTGTGTGGTTATTTACAGCAGAACCTCTATTACTACGTCTAAACACACGAATTTACCAACATCCAAAGTTAAATTTGATCAAATATTCGACTCGAGACCCAAAGTAAATTTCCAACATACGTTTGACTTCAAAGTCATAGAAAAATACGTATAAAATCTAAAAATGAAATAAAAATAAATAACCTAAGTTAGTTAAAAAAAACCTTAAAAAAAACTTTTTATAGATATTTCTTTATCATTTATTTATTTTTCCATCTCTATTCTGAAAGTCATTTGTTTTCTTGCTATGTGTAATTATCTGCAATATTTATAAAGGAGTTATCGTAAGTTTTTGGAACCAATTCTAGGAATTACAGTGGATTCTGATGGAAGATTTGAACCAACTAAGAATATTTTCTTAGTCGCTCCTGGAATGAATAACCTGTGTGTGTCACCTGTGTGTGTTACCTGTGTGTTACCTGTGTGTTACCTGTGTGTTACCTGTGTGTGTTACCTGTGTGTGTAACCTGTGTGTGTGTGTTACCTGTGTG